TTGGGCTAACTAACGAGTATAAAATTATCTTGTGAAACCCAAGATAGTAAACAATAGAATATTCCGTGTCTAGTAGGAAATATAAAGATAAACGTTTTAATATTCTTTTATTATATTATAACAAAATTTAAAAAGTGTTGCAAAATAAAGTTATGATATATATATAAAATTTTCAGTTTTAATGAATAGGGGAGAATGATGAGCTTTAGGTACTTGTAACAATAACAATACAAACTTCATAGATATAGGGAACCTATTTTGCCTACATATTTTTTTTCTTCTCGATTTTTTTATTGTTACGATTGGAACCTCTGGGTATGCCTTGTGCAACCCCAAGGTTCCGTGGAACACAGTTTGAAGACCCCTGGTTTACAATATTCAACAGGGCAAATATCAAAAAGTTTAAGTATTTCAAAAATATATATATAAATCTTTGAATATGTATAGTGTATTAAGTTCCAATGAAATAAAAATCATAATATAGGGTGTTAAATGTGCAACACATGTACGGCGTAAATGGGGCGTCATCATACTGGAGTTTGGAAGTGAGAAAAAGTTCCCCGGGTGATGGATGGAAAGAGAAAGTCCAATATAACGTGGTCACCTAGGGCTAGGGATGTCTTAAAACATGGGCCAACAAAACCCGGCCCAGGCCACGTCTCGTTCTTGACTCAGCCTTAATAAAATCATGCCACGAATAATTTCGCGGTCAAATGTTTTTCCGGTTGTATTCCCCGAAAAAGTTCGAATTTCGAACTATTTGTCAACTGGCTACATGTGATGAGCGTCATCCATGTATAGCAGTGATTCCCAAAGTGGTCTATATGAACCCCCAAGGGTTCTATAACGACCTGCAAGGGGTCCACATCAGCAACAAAATAATTTGTGGTTTAAATAGGGGTCTACAATAGAGGTTCGCATTAAACCAGATTGTGACTTTAAATTTTAAAAGAAAATTTAATCAAGTGGAAACCGGATTTTACCTATTTAACACATTCATTTACTAAATTTAATGAGTTTAATTTGAAATTACAAGTTGACACATCATAAGTTCATCATTTCAGCGTTTTTTATACCGGTTATTTATCCCGAATTATGGAATACCTTGAAAAAGCTTTTAATTGTTTTTCCTAATGAGAAGGAATTTCAGCGCGGTTGCCAATCTCAAGGAAAAAAAAAAGACTAGACACTACTAACCAAGGAGATTTAGAGTAAAACCTGACAAGATTGATGCCAAATGCTGACAATTTGTTACTTAAGCACCAGATTCATCCCTCCTATTAAAAAACATTTGTTTGCTGCTCAGTTATTTTATGTATTAATTAAATTTTTATTTAATTAATTAGCATGTGTGTGTTTTAAGTTTTAAACACTCTATACTCCACTACAATTAGAAATTTAAATCTTTTAAACTTGTTCTATACCAGATGTCAAAAAGTCATTTAAGTTGATAAATTTGCAAACATTCAATATTAACTAAGCAGGGGGTCTACCCCTAACCATAAAACACTTCAAGGGGTCTATGAGACAAAAATGCTTGGGAACCTCTGATGTATAGGCTTAGGCCTACCACCATACATCTTCATTACTCATTCAATTAAAAGGTGGCATCCAGTCGAGCCAGTTTGTGTGATTGTAAGTCATGCACATTTATTTGTTTCGGGTTATAGTTTGTACGAGTATTTGACAACGTGTGCTATGCAGTCTATTTTGAAAAGGTCTTGGGGGGCTGAATTTTTGTAGAGGCCCAGGGCCTACTTTTGGGTAGGTGCCCAGGGCCTCAAGAAGTCTTAAGGCGTCCTGCCTAGGTCATAATATCTTTGGACTTCTTTTTGTAGGGATACCCGAGAAACATTGTTTACCTATCATCAATTAGCGACACAAATGAAATGAAAAGTCGAATTACAGTGGTCATTCAAATTGATTGATCCTGCATTGCTTCATATAACGTGTCCAGAAGTCTCGTATAGACATGGTGTGTTGCGCGCAGCTAGTGGTACACCCATTAAAAACATGCGATAAAGCATTGTACAGAAACTTGAATGTTTTCTTTATGGAACGAAAAAAAAAAGTACCGCAAGTGAATATTTTCATTTGTTTTCTTTTGTAATTAATATTTGAAAATATAATTATATATTTTTCGGACACCCAGTACAATTAAAAATAATGAATTTTTTTTTTTTCATTTTAGAAGAAAACACTAAAATTTATTTCAGATAAGCTAAAAGATATAATTTTATTAATAACAAGTAATATATATAAAAAAAATTTTTTTAAGTCAATTTCTACTTAGATCAACAAAGAAAAGTTTTTATTTTAGCTGTTTTTTTGTTAAATAGTTACAACTAATATAAATATTTATATACATATGACGGAATCACAACATTAAGTGGCAATTAATTTCGATTAATTATCATTAAAGTATCGTATTGTCGTCCAAAACAATCGTGTCTATAAAATTTCAGTTCAACTGAATGCTTTAAAACGTGAGAAAAAAACTTTTTCAAGTTTTGACACAAGTCGCTAAAATGGTCGCTAAGTCGCCAAAAATTATGCCAAAGTGGATGTAATTGTAATTCTTTAAATAATTAGTTTCAATCAATTAATTTTTATTAATTATAATAAAATTACTGTATTGTCATCCAAAATAATCATGTTTACAAAATTATAGCTCAATTGAGCGCTTTAAAATGTATTTAATTTACGATTGAAAATTCCACGAAGATAAATAAATAAATATATAGAGTGTTAGCTAATAGTAGAAATTGAATTAATTTGTATCTAATGGAAATAATTGTCTAAGCAAGCGAAGTATATATATATATATATAAGCGATTTTAAAATCTTGTTTAAATCGCGCTTTCCCGTTTGCCTCATTTTAGTTATTTTTATCCAAGCCGGCTCTAAAACATAGGTTCACAACGTTTTTGAAATGGTCCCCCTTTTCTAGTGCTTTCGATACAGCCCTTTTCCTTTAACTGTATTATGAGATATTTCATGTGACATTGGATGAAATGTGAAAAGTTTTAATTTAATATCTAAAATTTAAAATTTACTATATCATTCAATTTAATGTAGGTCTGAAAGTAAATCTAATCCCCCAGTTTTTCATCCACTTCCCGAACTACCCAAATAAGGGAATTTTCGCACACGTGATAGAAATTATTTAGATACATACACACAATCAACATAAGGTATCCAGTATTAAAGTTTCCTTTTGTGTTTACATAATCCGCGTGTTTTTGTAGTCTTTTTCAATTCCTACTATAGCTCACACTCTCTCTACATTTATATATTTATTTATGTTTTTGGAAATTTTGATCGTTAATAAAATATATTTTATTCATCCAATCAAGTTCAAAAAATTTTTTAAAATTTGTAGTGGATGACATTTGATGTCAATACAGATTTTTCAAATATTAATTCATTGATTAAATTCCATTTTCTAATTTTAAATTTATATTGCGTTATTTCCCTTGTAGTTACAATTAGCTGCAACAGATGGAGCCAGTTGGCTTTTCTAACAAAGAAGAAACGGAAGTTAAAAAAAATTTCTGTATTATTTAGGCAAAATTTGGTTAATCTGCCCACGCCCTTCCATGCCATCTCAACGACTCCTACATTTCTTTAAGTCTTTTACTGTCCCCTGAAAGCCTCAAATTAGCACAAGGGGGTGTTGTCACACACATTGAGAACTTAGCAATGGAAATTAATATTCGCCATATCGGACGACAGCAGAGTGGCGCAATGGTAACGTCCTGGGCCCATAACCCAGAGGTCCGTGGATCGAAACCACGCTCTGCTAGTTATATTTTTACTGTTTTACTTCTACAATGACATAAATAAAATTGTGAAGCATAATTTTTGAGCAAAATAATATTCAATATATATTTTTATAAGTTGCTTCCAGAAAATTATTAAGCAAAAACTATTTTTAAAAATGTCTCGGCTCAAATGTGGATATATTTTTAAATTAAAAATAAAAATGATAGTAAAATAAATACGGATAAAAATATTAATTCTTTTAATTGGAGACACTTTTCTGGAATTTGACAAAAGATTTTGCTGTGTGTCATATCTACCATTTTGCAATTGCAATTACCTGTAAAGACTTTAGGAACGAATTGAAAAAGTTTAAGAGAAAATAAATTAATTCGGTGATACATTTCAGTTTTTAAATTTTATAAATTAATTTGTTCTATTTATATTACCAAGGAGGATAGTTAGTTAATTTTCGCTGTATTTCACTGATAATTTTACACAAAAAAAGTGTTGATTAAAGTTTAATTTTTGGTTTATTTTTAATCATTGAAGAATTTTGCTTAATATAAAAATGATAAAGGCTTTGATAGATAGGTTTTAAACTTTAACATTAATATGTTTTTAATTTATCGATGATTTTAAGGTAAAATTTTAAGAATAGATTTTTTTTAAAATAAAAAAAGTAATATTATTTTAAAATTAACCACGTTCACAAGTTTTGCTGAGTTTCAAGAAAAACATCAGTTTCAAAAAAATCTATTAACTATTATAGCTCACACTCTCTCTATATTTATATATTTATTTATCTTTTTGGAAATTTTGATCGTTAATAAAATAATTTCTATTCATCCAATCAGGTTCAAATAAATTATTTTAAATTTGTAGTGGATGACACTTGATGTTAATACAGTTTTTTCAAATATTAATTCTTTGATTAAATTACATTTTCTAATTTTAAATTTATTTTGCGTTATTTCCCTTGTAGTTACAATTAGCTGCAACAGATGGCGCCAGTTCGTTTTTCTAACAAAAAAGAAATGGACGTTAAAATTTTTTTTTCTGTTTTATTTAGGCAAAATTTGGTTAATCTGCCCACGCCTCTCCATACCATCCCAACGCCTACTACTTTTCTTTGGATCTTTTACTGTCCCCTGAAAGCCTCAAATTCCCACAAGGGGGCGTTGTCACACACATTGAGAACTTAGCGATGGAAATTAATAATCGCCTCATCGGACGACAGCAGAGTAGCGCATTGGTAGTGTGCTGGGCCCATAACCCAGAGGTCCATGGATCATAACCACCCTTTGCTAGACATATTTTTACTGTATCACTTCTACAATGACATAAATAAAATTGTGAAGCATAATTTTTGAGCAAAATAATATTCAATACACTTTTATCAGTCGCTTCCAGAAAATTATTAAGCAAAAACTATTTTTAAAAATGTCTCGGCTGAAATGTTGATATAATTTTAAATTAAAAATAAAGGATAGTAAAATAAATATGGATAAAAATAGGAATTCTTTTAATTGGGGACATTTTTCTGGATTTTGACAAAAATTTTTGCTGTGTGTCATATCTACCATTTTGCAATTGCAATTACCTGTAAAGACTTTAGGAACGAATTGAAAAAAGTTAAAGAGAAAATAAATGACTTCGGTGATACATCTCTCAGTTTTTCAATTTTATACTATACTAAACTAAAATTAGATGATCGCGGGTGCCTATTCCCAGAATAATGGGAGAAAAAGGAAAACCATATGTAAGAGGAAATAACAAATCAAGAGAACTCCCCCGAAAATGGGGAGGGATGAACGTACCCCCAAGCACAGCGTTCTATCGAACGTCTGCGGGGCGAAGGCGCGAAGCGCAGGAAGGGAAAACGGGACATCCAGAGGCAGTCAATCAATTCGGTGACAGTTCACCACATGAACCCAAAAGGAAAAGATGCTATGCAACGAAGCTCTGCTTATGTTGTTTAAGAGTGTGAAGAGAGTTTAAATGTTGTGTTATGGGGGACGAAGCGGGTTTCTCCACTTCGTTGAAGAGTATGTATATTTAATTTTAGGATGAGGATACTTAAACAATGTTTGTGCTTTGATGATTGGATTGTCATGAGATTCATAGATTTAAATACATTTCTAGCAAGTTTAGTGATGTAATTAGAAATCGACTCCATATGTATGTCGTTGTGTATAACGTCATTTCGTAAGTACCAAGGTGCGTTTGTCATGACGCGTAGTATTTTGTTTTGAATCACTTAAATTGTTTTCATGTGGGTGGCAGCTGCCGCTCCCCAGACCGGGGACCCGTACGTGATAACTGGGTGCAAGATCTGATTGTATAAGATTACTTTATTTTCTAGGGATAGGGGTGACCTTCTCCCGACAAGGCAGATGGCTAAATGAATTTCACCCCCAAATTTTTCTGCAAGATAGTCGATTTGTTTATTGAAAGTTAGGCGGCTATCAATGTGCAGGCCCAGATATTTCACTACCAAATCCCACTGGATGTTGTCATCAAAAAGTGTGAGCTGGAAAGGTGGGTCAATGACCCCCATTTCCTGAATATTATTGCTTGAGATTTGTCAACATTAATCGCAATTCTCCTGAGTGTAAGCCAAATTTCAAGTTTGTCTAGAAAGTTTTGTATAGCTTTAATAGTGTATTTAAGCTGGACTCCTTGCGACAACACGGCGGAATCATCCGCGAACAGGCAAGTACTGACGGTGGAGTGTTGTGGGAAGTCGTGGGTGTAAATGTTGAACAAGTAAGGTGAAAGAACAGAACCCTGAGGAACGCCAGAAAGGCAAGATCCAGAGTTAGAGTATGTATTGTTTACACGAACTCTAAAAGTTCTATTGTGTAAAAAATTGTGTATGATTTTAATTAAGTAGTCAGGGAACTGTAGTTCAATTAACTTGTACGTGAGACCATCGTGCCACATTTTATCGAATGCCCATTTTACATTTAAAAAGACACCGACACAGTAAAATATGTGAGCAAACCCTTCATTTATTATGTTTGTAACTCGTATTAATTGGTGTAGCGTTGAATGGCCCTCCCGAAACCCGCATTGTTCCGGAGGAATACAATCTATGGCTTTGCAGTGGATTTGATTCTAGATAAAATGATTCTTTCATAAATCTTAGCAGTGGCATTAATTAAACTTATAGGTCTATAGCCTTGTGGGAAGGCCCTATTTAGGTTTGGTTTTGTCAGCATGATAACGTTTGCTTGCTTCCACAGTGTAGGAAATTGATTTTTAATGAGGCATTGATTGTATATTTTAGTTAAGTGTGTAATTGCATTTAACGTTAAATATATTTAAGAGCTATATTTGGAATTTGATCGGGGCCTGAAGCTTTTCTATTCTGCAATTTTTTAATAATACCTCGACCTTCATTAGGGGAAGTGAGAGGGGGAATGTTTGTTGTGAAGTTGTCGAAATAGTGATTCACGAAATTTTCGACTTCTTCGATCTTGTCATCACAATAGGGTTCTTCATTTTCCTGAAAAGTGATTTCAAGTGTCTTTTTAAAAGCCTCCGGCTTTTCGAAATCTGAGTAGGCCAGGTGAGTAGTAAAGGTGGAATGGGGGTATGCCTTTTGGAAAATGTCTTATGTAAATTATACAAAGAATTGTCTTCAGGATTTAAAGTTAAAAGAAATTCTTTCCAGGTCCTGTTTTTATGCGCGTTTGTATGGAGGGTATCTGGTATTATTCCAGAGTTTATACGAAATCTATTTTTTGCTCTGATAAGCTCTCTGATGTTTACAGGAAGACGGAGGTGTGAAGTGTTAATTAATCTAGTGGTAGTGGAAGCAGAAATAGCATTCGATACATTGCTGGTGAAATTTTGAACGGCTAGATCCAAATCATCTTTCTGGGGATTTCCGGGGATATTGTGATAAATTATTTCCTGAAATTTAGTCCAGTTCGTAGTTTCTAAAGTATGAAGTATTAGTGGCAATACGTTATTAGTTATAAAATCAAACATAACTGGATTGTGATCACTGCTAAGTTCGTTAATAGTAAAAACTTCAGTGTGAGATAAGTTAACTGCAAAGCCTATGTCAAGAATAGCGTTGGAGTGATAAGTGTTGAAATGCGTGAGAGTGTCGGGGGCTAAAATATCCAGTACCGACCGTACAGCCCAATTGCACAGGATATTACCATTTTTTGCTTGCCCTGCTTGGATTCCAGCTAGGATGTTGAGCATTAAAATCGCCGAAAAAAAAGGCTTTGTTGTTGTGGTTGAGAATTGCGTCAAATTCCGTAGTATTAATGGAGCCGTGTGGAGGTCTATAAATGCCCGCCACAGTAGTTTTACTGTTGTTTCCTAACTGAATGATAACCGATGAATTTTCAAAGGTGTTTGAGACATTTAGAATGTCGTGGTGTCTGATAGAATACTTAACGAAGAGGGGCGTGCCCCTCCCACCTATGGGTTGTGCGGTCACTTCTGTGACAAATGTAATTTGGAATGCTAACCCTGTCTGCTGGACGAAGAATGTTTCCTGTATTTTCGATTATGTCGGGGTCATAATCAATAATGCAATCTCTTAGTTCCTATAAACGATTTCTTAAACCGTTAGCATTCCAACTAAAAAACCCGAGAGAAATGTTCCTATTACTACTATTGAATCTTAAAGTTTAAAGTTTAGTTTGAAGAATGGACAGCATTTGTCCCCACTGCGTCATCATCTGGGCCATTTGAGACATGACTGACTTGGCATCCAGTGACTCGTTGTTCTGCTTTCCTTTTACTACTTCCGAGAAAGTAGGTTTTGGCTGTGTGTTATTATCCTTGCGCGCAGCCGCTCGCTCTTGCCAGACGTTCTTCGTCGGTTTGTTTTTTGCTGGTTTTAGTGTTTACTGGATTCTTGGGGCATCCAGAGAAGTTTGCAGGGTGCGGGCCACATCGCAATTTGCACACTTGGCCGGTGCCTCGGCTGACTTGGTGCATTCTGAAATGAGATGGCCACCCGAACATTTCAAACACTTCGGTGCTCTAGCGCAAAACCGAGAGTGATGAAAAAACTCCTGACAGGCGATAACACTGAGGAAGCATAGTGGATTTGTTGAGGGGTTCAACCACAACCCTAAAAAATCCAATTGTTTCTGTGTTGAATATGCCTTGGTTTTCAGGACATTTGGGGAGGGTTACCAAGAATAATGGCATGTTTGTTTTCCTGTTTCTCAACAAGGAAATATGGTTGGGTTTGAAACCAAATGAATGTAACTCTGACATGAGTTCTTGGTCGAAATCTTTAGGTAACCCTCTTATCACAACTTTAAGTTGTTTATTGTGGGCCATCTCAAAAGTGTGGGACCGCAATTTGTTGTCCGAGATGTATTTTTGTATCAATCTGTGATCTTCGGTAGAAGCTGGAAAGACTCGGAGCTTTCCATTCTCAACTCAATTTATGAATTAATTTGTTCTATTTATATTACCAAGGAGAATAGTTAGTTAATTTTCGCTATGTATTTCACTGATAATTTTACACACAAAAAAAAGTGTTGATTAAAGTTGAATTTTGAGCTTTTTTTAATCATTGAAGAATTTTGCTTAATATAAAAATAATAAGTGCATCGATAGATAGGTTTTAAAATTTAACATTAATATGTTTTTAATTTATCGATGATTTTAAGGTAAAATTTTAAGAGTAGATTTTTTAAAATAAAAAAAGTAATATTATTTTAAAATTAACCACGTTCACAAGTTTTGCTGAGTTTCAAGAAAAACATCAGTTCAGAAAAATATCTATAAACTATTATAGCTGACACTTTCTCTATATTTATATATTTATTTATCTTTTTGGAAATTTCGATCGTTAATAAAATAAATTCTCTTCATCCAATCAGGTTCAAATAAATTATTTTAAATTTGTAGTGGATGACACTTGATGTTAATACAGTTTTTTCAAATATTAATTCTTTGATTAAATTACATTTTCTAATTTAAATTTATTTTCGTTATTTCCTTGTAGTTACAATTAGCTGCAACAGATGGCGCCAGTTCTTTTTTCTAACAAAAGGAAATGGACGTTAAAATTTTTCTGTTTTATTAGGCAAAATTTGGTTAATCTGCCCACGCCTCTCCATACCATCCAACGCCTACTACTTTTCTTGGATTTTTTTACTGTCCCTGAAAGCCTCAAATTCCCACAAGGGGGCGTTGTACACACATTGAAAACTTATCGATGGAATTTAATATTCGCCATATCGGACGGCAGCAGAGTAGCGCATTGGTAGTGTGCTGGGCCCATAACCCAGAGGTCCATGGATCGAAACTACCCTTTCTAGAC